AATAGGCGAAACAATTTCGTCGAGAACATTTAATAAACTTTATGGAATTAATTCCAAAATATTCCCATTACAATTGTTAATCCAGCCAATCCATTAAGTTTGTAAAAACGATTCCAAAGTATTAGGGACTCTTTGTTAGTCTATATTACTTATCGACTTGCGAGGTAATCCAGTTGGTGAGCTCTTGAAGAATGCACACCTGCAAAGTTGGGGTTTCAAAACAGATGCTTAGAATTACTAAAATTGCGTTAAGCCAGCGCGGGGCAAACAAGGGACAAATTTAGTAACAGCGCTGGTCAAATCAATACTTCTAAATTAAGCATTTTCTATAACTCATTAAAGTAAAGTCAGTTAGACGCTGCTTAACTCGTTGTATGAAGGTTCTAGATACGCTTTAATGTTTAAAAACATTGTTTTCCACCACAGTTGGTTATCATCAAAAAAGTAAATTCGTAATAATAATTCTTCGTTTTGGAAATATGATTTTGTTGAATTTCCCGTTACAACTTTATAAAACGAAAGTTCAAGACTCGTGCATTAGTTTATACAGCATATTATTCGGTAATAATAAAAAAAATAATGGTAATCGAAGAGCAGTTGAATAAACTAATTCAGCAATACAACATCAATCATTAGTGTAGGTCAGTATCTATGTCAATGTAGAACAGTTGTTGTTGCAATAATGTAGAGGCGATATAGTAGGAACGAAATCCTTAATTTCAAAAAGGACAATCTCCAAAATAGTACACGCGAAACAACAGGGAACGTTGTCACATCCTCTCATGTGTCAATGTGGCAAATTTTAAAGAAATGATTCCTGCATCCTTATCATCAACGTACCACAGCCTAATATTTTTCAACCACAAAAAGGTAACGCGCCTTGGCAATCCTTCAAATGATGGTGTGGAAATTTGCCTCGATAAATTTACAACTATCCTAATGTAACGTAAAGTAAATTACATTTTTTCTTTATCTTGTGTTGTTACATTTACATAGTGCTGTTTGTAATTTGCTTATTTAGTTTTGTACTTAACTAGACTAAATCTTAGACTTAGTCTTGGTTAATCGGCAATGATTACATTTTTCGTCGATGTAACTGTTACCGATTCACACACAGGACCGGCATCAGATTGTAAATTATTGTGATTCTCTTAAAAAAAATTCTCCCTTAACCAAGCTGCTGAACTCACCATGCAATTGTTTATTACAGCTAGTTTACACCCTCCAAAGCTCGGCACATATTTCTATTACACCCTCTAGATAATGCATATGGTACGGCTAGGGCTCACTTATTTACTAATGTAATGAGTGGTATACTATATTTGTCTTTCTTGGAAGTGTTTTTGTGCGGGCCCCAAAGGCACAAATTTTGCTACATGACAAAGATGGCCACATAAACTTTCGATTTCTCGTATGATGTTGTTCAACAACAAAACGATTAAACCAAATGAATTTAGAAATTTTAATAATAATATAGTTTTTTCAGGATTTTGATCAAATAGTTAAACAACTTTATGTTTTTTGTAACGTTTCGGTTTATTCAACCATCTTCAGACTTTTAAGGTGTTACTGCTTGTACACAGATATTAACTTAATTTTAAACATGTTTCATGTTGAACTACAGTATACTGATTCTCAAAAGCAGAATCAGTACACAGTAGTAACACTTTAAAAGTCTGAAGATGGTTGATAAAACCAAAACGTTACAAAAAACATGAAGCTGTTTAATTGTTTGACCGCTTCCCTGGAAAAAACTACATAATTTAAAAGTAACGATCAGGAATCTAACTTAAATTTAATAATAATGAGATATCAACATTATTATATAATAAGAGTAACGTTGCACTTAGTTGACATACGAGAGAAAAACGAAATATAATGAAAAGAGTGGTAAATGAAACACGTAAATAAAGAAGTATACATTATCTATATTCGTGTGGAATCGTACATTATTTACAGAATGACACTTACATAGATAGTTTTTCTATGCACACGGATGCATCAGAAAAATATCGCTCGACTATTACAGAAACAATAGTAAGTAATAATCAGTTGAATCGCTAAAGTATAGGTACAGATACAAACGGCTGAATCACACTGGGCTTGGGACTTAAAACTTACATCTACATTAGGTATTTTATATAATATTTACAACTTTTCATGTTTCATCTAAAAATAAGTAGGTATTCATACAAAAACCAAATACAATAATTACACTTAACTGTTCCAGTTATTTAATATTCAAAGGAAGTAGATCTTAGGTGGATAAGTAATGAAATTCAAGGAGTGTTACCTGATCTGACGGAAGAGATAAATCTGCACGCGGTAAATCGAGATCAAAAATATAAAATTTTGAAAAAGGGCTGCAAATTTTGTGAAATGATGTGAAAATAAGTATTTCAAAACTCAATCATACCAATTTTTATGAAAACGTGAAGATCTATAGTTTAAGAAAATTTCTTTTTTGCTTTCTCGATTACTTATTATTATTATTATTGTAGATAATTAAAAATAAATTCCAGTATTTTTTTTTTGGGAAAAATTCTTGATAAAAGTACAGAGCATTCTTTTTACCTATTCACCTTAAAAATTAAGGATTATAGATTATGACAGTACTTAGGTAATAAATTACAGATTTTAATTGCTATTTTTATGAATTTCTTTTTAATATTGCAGTAACGTCTCAAGATTTTGTATAAAATCCATCAGATCAGAGTTAGTCCTTAAAACTTTGGTTCAACTGTAAGTATACGACAAAGAGTTGTTTACTTTCTTGATGATCATTAATTACGTATTTCTATCTGCTGGTAAAATCACGTTCGCCGTTTTTTCCAAAAATATGTGTCATAAAAGTTCCACTTTTTCACGTAAAAATAACGGACAGTTTGAGAAACGTTTTTGTAAAAACTTAAACTTGAAATCGACTGAAAAAAGGTGACCTTAATTTGTTGCAAAGCTTCAATGGTTGTCCTGTTACGGTAGAATATTTCGCAGAAAACCGCATCGAATTCTGACACTGAACCACAACAAACCACCGAGAAATTACGATTCAGTTTACAAGGATTTTCAACGATTTTGCTTTCAACAAAAAAAAATAGGAAATGTTTTGCCTGACTTACTAAAAATACTCGACAGAATTACTTTTCCTTGCTGGACCACACAATACATTTTATTTATACACAGAGTGATAATTACTATTTCGAAAAATTCACTGGGTATCAGTTTCTGGCTTAATGCTAACAGGAAACAAGCTAAAGATTAGTCAAAGAAAATTTTAAAACGAAACAGAATTAATTTAACAAAGTTTAGTTCAATATTTATATCCATATAAGTAATAAATAAATAATAATTTAACAACCGTGTTTTGTATGGATAAAGTAATGGAGAAACATTTTCGTTTCAATTTGAATATTGGGGATGTGTAGACCGTTGATAACCCCCATAAACCCTTTTTCATTAAACAAATGAAACTCAAGAGATAGGGGCTGCTTGACGGGTAGAATGGCCGAGATAAAAAATGAACCGAACTGTATTCGTGAAATTATCACACAACGAAAATTTCATCAGTTTAATAGTTTCTACGTAAATTGAATTAATTTCTCTCGAGTTTCAGAATACCTACTGCATGTCCCTGATCATAATTAAAAGAAAATACATCGAATTCTAATTTCACCAGCAGTAACAATTGAAAGTAACTGGAAACATTTAGTCATGTTGCGATTATCTTACTCTAAAATGGCACATATACGACAAAACTTCGTGATTTACAATTACGCTTTATGAGTCTATATAAAAAATATTTTCTAGGGCGCTATAAATAATAGTCTTTATCACGTACCTGTTTCTAACGATGTACACACACCATTTCACATTTGTAGTTAATATTGTCGCATTTCGGTATTGTTGAAGTCGGCTAATTCAGTAAACAAAAATATAAATGGATGACGAACAAGTAACTAGTCGGTGGAGCATACTGAAGTAACTAAGAATATGTGGTGTTCATGTTTATTAATTGGAGACCTTCAGAATATCGAATTCTTCCTTCATACGTAGGGAATTTTGAAAAAGTTTGGAAAATCCAGTACAAACTCGAAAATCCGAACACTTGAAGTCATAATCTGTGATAGTTCGAAGAAGTTCGAATTGCGCAGGCGTGACAACGTCACCTTGCTCGAAAAGCGGCTGCTGGAGATCAAGATCATACATTTCATCCATCTTACGAAGCGATTACGTTAACAACTACAAAGTGACGCCAAAAGTCAAACATATTTCATTATCAATATAGGAAAATAAATAAAAGTAAAACTAAAATACTGATATGCAAGGGAAAAAAAAGTAGGGAAAGAGCGAATATAAAGATAGGAGACGAAAAATTAGAAGAAGTGGCTGATTTTAGATACCTAGGAAGTCAGATAAGTGAGGATGGAAGGAGTAGTAGGGATATAAAGCAGAGGATAGCATAGGGTCGTGTCGCCTTTAATAAAAAGAAGTCACTTCTATGCTCGCGAACGGTTAATTTAGAAATTCGAAAAAGGTTGTTAAAGGTGTATGTTTGGAGCACGGCGTTGTACGGGTGTGAAACATGGACAGTAGGAGCGGCGGAAAAGAAAAAGTTAGAAGCGTTCGAAATGTGGTGTTATAGGCGGATGATGAGGATATCGTGAGTAGAAAAGGTTAGAAATGAAGAGGTATTGGAAAGAATAGGAGAACAGCGGACTCTATGGAAGTCAATAAAAAATAGGCGAGATAGGTTAGTAGGACACCTTCTCAGGCATGAAGGTCCAGTCAGAGACATATTAGAGGCAGAAATAGGAGTTAGGAGGGGTAGAGGTAGACCTAGATTAGATTACTCTTCGCAAATAGTCAAGGATGTGGGCTGTTCTAGTTTTAGGGAAATGCGAAGTTTAGCTCAGGATAGGAAAGAGTGGAGGTACGTGTCCAACCAGTCTTAGGACTGGTGACCTTATGATGATGAATATAGGAAAAAGTTGCTATTATTAAAAATTTAGAGTTCAGAGCTAAGGTTTCATTTTCATTAAAAAATAAGGTTCACATATAAATATCTGTGTCTACTCTTTGATAATCCGAAGAATCCTCTGTAATAATAAGTGCGGATTATCGAGGTTGTACTGTATATCCAAGAGTTATATTAATGGAGATATCGATATAAGTATCTGATTGATGAAAACTAATAAAATAGAAAAGAAAAGTTTACTTTGAAGGAAGATTCTTCAAAAGAATTTACAGCTGTTGATGTTAACAGAATTCTGGTTTGGTTTTGTTTTCATGTAGAATCAGCCTACTTCAAAAAATTCACCCCGTAAATAATCCACACGCACTAAATAAACACTGGCGCACGTAACAAATAGTTCACTTTATTAATTAGAGGGCGGTGAGTCCGTAGTCCGATTTAATAATCGGTTGTGGGGCGGGATGCGTGGGTGTGCATCCTGGTGACGTGCTCAGGGGAGCCATCGGCGGTCCCAAACCGGCCAAATGCATCCCCTGGTCAGCATGCAACATTCCGGGGTGATGGAGATTGGAGGGTGGCATGGGATGCGCGTGAGAGTGCACACCCATGGAAGCGGTGATGGAGTGGTTCCCCGACAGGGACATGTCCAGCATGTTCTCCCCAAGGCCATCCATATCACCCTGTCGGGGTTGATTCACTTTTTTATTATTGCTGGGTGCGGTTGTTGACGATTTTCCGCGGCCTTTGGATTGTTTGGATGACGCGGTTGTTGTGACACCAGCAGGATTGGTTTTTCGGCGCACATTTTTAGTGTTTGGGAGTTTGTTGTCCTTTTTCCATTTCATACGTCGGTTCTGAAACCAGATTTTGATCTGTCTTTCCGAAAGAACGAGGGTGTGCGCGATTTCTATTCGTCGACGCCTCGTCAGGTAACGATTATAATGGAATTCTTTTTCGAGTTCGAGGATTTGGTGACGAGTGTAAGCTGTCCGTTGACGTTTGGGCTCCATTCCCGGTGCGAAACTGCCATTTGCTGAAACAAAAAAGGCAGATGATTGCTATTATCGCTAACAAAGTTATCAAAAAGCAGCAGAATAAACGGAAACAATGTGATGTTTCATCAGAACTTTGAAGAACCTGTTGTAAATTCGTTGGAAAATATTACCTAATAGATAAAATACTTTATTGACGTCTTCATAACATCATTCAATCACCATAAAAATTCCTTTGATAAAAGAAGTAGCAAATAAATCATGTATTGAAGACATCATATGTTACGAGTTCAGAAAAATTTTCAAAAGGTATATATAGATAAATTGGAAAATCGGCTGGCTCACGCTTAGGGGGTGTTGTAGAGCAATAAATAATTACATTTTGAAGTGATGCCCAATGCAGTGTGTAATATGATCCGACTAGATGGTTTGTTAGACGCATTTAAAGTCAATACTGATACCTTCAGTTTAGTCAAAGGAATCAAATTATACGAAGGGTGCCTTGTGTTTTACATATAGGTACAGGAATATAGTATGCAGCGATAATCAAATATCACAACTAAAACTTATCCTCCATGTTTTAATGTATATTGTTGTAGATACAAAGAATTTCATAGCTGGCAAGTTGTAGAACTGAAACAAGAAAATTTTTGTGCAACAATCTTCGGAGACAATTATGTCTAAAAATATGAATGCCTCGTCCAGTTGGTTTCTGTTTTCAACAACGAAGTATCACATCGGTCGACAATTTCCTTTTGGTATGGATAATTCAATCCTGGGCGGACGAGTCTTTGCGGCGATCCAAGGGCAGATACACATAAAACTTCAGTCACCCAGAAAAACTCATCAGGCAAGATCGACTGTGATGTATCGTGAGATTGAGACATAACTGGGAATTATAAAGATCTCTCAATTCAATAAACTTTATTTGAAGAATTGGCGGTAAGAAATTAGTGTCCCATTGGATACTGTATCTGTTAACTGGAGAAGAGAAAGAAGATAGAGTCACTCGGTGTCGAAAAACATTAGAGACCTCTTCAATGCAGAGGAAACTGTAAAAACGCGTACAGCATCGTCAATGGTGATGAATCGTGGATTTACTCGTATGAAACCGAAAATAAACACCAGTCGTAGCCTTAATTGATCAAAATGTATGGCTTCTAGCGGTGATGTTTGTCATCGGTCTAGTTTTGAATCTGAATCTTCAATTTCGATAATCTTTATAACTTGTTGAGTACTTATATTTTGGTTAGCTTTAAATACAGTAAATTAGAAGTGTTTAAAGTGATGAAACTGCTGAAGTAAGCAAACAATGCTTCTTTTTCAAGTATATATACCTAAATATTTTTCTTCGGTCAATTCAGTGATGTCTCAATCTAAAGCAGCGGGAAAAACAAATTGGTCTAACAATATTTGCAAAATATGCTATCGTACTGTAGTTCTCAGGCTTTTACGGCCGGCGTATATCGATGCAGTGGTTTCTTCCGGGCTTTTTGGCCGTGATCCGTGGAATTTTACTTTTCCAAACGTTTCGCCGTTCTTTGCTGACAACATCTTCAGTGGTGACTGGACAAGTGCTGAGTCATCAGTTACGACGTCAGCAAAGAACGGCGAAACGTTTGGAAAAGTAAAATTCCACGGACCACGGCCAAAAAGGCCGGAAGAAAACACCGCATCGTTGCTATCGTACTATATGATAAGATAAAAAATTAAGAGTTGAATTTGATATAAAGCTCTTCAAATATGAAGTTAGTCAGTTTCGGGCAATATTATTGTAACGCTGAAATAGCAAATACTGAAAGGGCAATTTTGGAAAGAATCGAATGTTCCACTACAGTTGGTGGTGGTGTTTATTACGTTAAATTACAAATTTGAATAACTTATCTTCGTCATAAAGATGAATGGAAATTTAACGTTTAACGAATACTGTTCGACTTTTGTCAAAAATGTGTAGAAATGTTTGTGAATGATGCCCACTTGATGGCCGTGGTAATCAACTCTAATTAGACATCAATTTGGCAGTGAAATGAAGGTTACAATTCGGCGCCTGCAACGTAAGTAAAATTTGTAACAGTTCACGGTCTGGTTCGGCGATTATTCATTATTCGGGTTATGCAAGTAATGTCGTTAAAACCCGGACCACACCAAATACCAACTTTGACCTTGGTGTAACTTGGCTCACTGAGCGGCTGGCTGGTTGGTTGGCTGGCTATGGCAGTGCAATTGTTTCGTTTTGGACATAGTAATAATGTGCACCATCATCGTCAGCGAGACGAGACCGAGAGCTGAAAACCAGCCGAATTGGAACGCTTCACAACAACCATACATTGACGGTACAGCGATCTTCAGCTGTCGTTTTCTGTTTGTTTATCAAAATCCAATTGTTTACTGCCAACGCGCTTGATTGCCTGGGTTGATATGATACCATAGGCTGCGATTTAGACCACTCACTGGCATCTTTTCATATTTAATTCTTTGCTCGATTATTTATAATTACTATTACAATTTAGAAGAAACTTGAAGCAACGAAATGTCTATAAAAATTGTCCATTTGAAAACATTTAAATTGTATAGGGATTTAATAACTTCAGCGTTTTGGAGATCAAAAAGTAACAAAATACCAAGAAGAAATTTCATTAGAATATAATGGAAGTAATGCCGAACAAGAAATAGCTATGATGATTTAGCAGATTGACAAATAAGCGGTATCCAGAAAATTAGTAAATATCACTTTTAATATTTTAAAATTGCTCTATAACTGATAAAGGAAAAATGCAAAAGCATTTCGACTGTTGGCGAAATTATAGAACTAACATTTAAAAGAAAATGGCTTCAAGAAATGTTGACCACGTTAGTATTGTACTTAGGTAGGTATTACAGGAAGAAAAATATAGTACCTTCAACAGAAATAAAAACAGAATAATGTATGCATGGACATTTGGAAAAAGGATTTATGGTTAATAAATATTTCATGGAGGTCTATGAAAATTGATACCATATATAGTAGAAACAATCACACTTCTTTATAAATTATTCTCATAAAGCAAATTACTTTCAGAATTCAATTCCAAAAATAATTTCAAAATCACTTCGTAGTCAAAAACGAAAGATGGACGAAAATTGTGACGATTCCAGAAAAAAACTGTACAGATGGTATTATACCTGAACCCTAAAAACGTTAATGGAATCTATGTATCTGTTTGTAGAACTTTGAATTCCATGGAATTTCATAATATAAATCCTTAATAAGAGAAAACGTTATAAAGTACAAAAAACGAAATGATGTTGAGCATGACATGGGAAGTAGATTATAATATACAATTTAACGATGTAGAAGAAAATCGCAATTCCATATCAATCCTTATAATGTGAAATTAAACTTTTCATGTTTCTAAAATCATTTCTAGTTGGCAAATCAGAATAAAAGTACATATCCATTTAGAGTGATTGCACCTATTAGAGGACTGTATCGTTCAGACGTTAGATCCTGATATAAAAGTTCTTCTAATTGGGATCCGTCAAATGGGAGGAGCCTAAAAACATGGCGCCGATTAGGAAAAAATTATCGTAGTTCCTATAGTGTACCGTGCAATTTCCAAGTTTTTAAATTACGATAAAATGATAAGTATTGACACAATATGTGATTGGGCTGACACAAAGCTTCGGAAAGGAAATTTCGTTGAAGGTGAGCGTGTTTTTAATGCCAATCACATTATAAAATTCGGAAATAACAAATCCGGAAGCTAGCCTTCAAATTCCGTCAAGTTTACTGCCTACTTTTTACAAACTTCGGATTTAAAAAGTGATTCACGTTATATAATTGGTGAGGTGATTCTGGGTGATTTAAGCAATATCATATCAATGACTTGCACGTGCAAAGCCGATTTAAGAGAACGTTGCAAACACATTATTGCAACTTTGTTGTATTGCAGCAGGTAGGTTCTTAACCTCAAAATACTTATATCGTATCATTAGAATTGTGTTAAATCAATTACACAGGAATAAATAATTTCTCACTTTATAATTTTAGTATGATTCTAGTTTTAAATATTAAGGTTATGGCTGATGGTAAATACTTGCTGAAATATAATCATGTGCATTAAAATGACGTGAACAAATTTTTATTCCGGAATTCACTTCTTTGATACCTACTGCTTTCATCCAAGCTTCTATTAGTTTACTTTTTTCTCTAATTTTCCGAATATATTTTTTACATATATAAAACGGTTAGTTTTTATTGGAAAGTAGTTAATGTAGGTGAAGAGTGAAGATCTATGTCTGAAGTGCTATTGCAGCTTTTCACTGAACATATTAACTTTTTATTTGATTTAACTTTAGAAGAAAACTTCGTCGACTCCATCATCAAAAAAATTTTTAGTTTTATTATTTTAATAAACAATTTTACAATTTGCGTGCACAGTTCCTATGTAAATTTTTTCCTCGTTCCAGTTATAAATTTTGCCACCAGATGGTGTATGCCCATTTGATGGATCCCAATAGAACTCTCCTTATATTTGCCATATTAGGCAAGTGTACCTTGAAATTGTACAACAGTTTTACTTTTATGACAAAAAGTCAATTCACTGCATCACTTAATGCGCATCTTTTTTAATTTACCTGCTGCCGAAACTGATTTTGTTCATTGTGACCTTGGTTGTATATTCTGGTTAAATAATGTGCATGATCATCGCCCAGTCGGTAAAAATGAATAGGCATTTGGCGGTTATGGTCTTTGTGAGATTGCGCTGCCGACAAAACTGATGATGAGCGCAATGTTCGTTCGTTTTTCTGTTATTTGTTTACCGAATTCGAATCGTGCGCTTTCAACTCCTGTCATCGCCATTGTCTATCACTCAACATGGCGAACCCATAGTCCACAGACAAACATTTTAGTTTGTCCTTTGGATTATACATTTTTCAAAAGAGGATACAATTTTCAAAGCATAGCATAGTCTATTGGCAATTGGCTGATTCGGAATCGCAACAATAATTTGATGTTATTAAAAGCATCAACTTCCTAGAGGAGACTATACATTTCA